GGAACTCTTTGCTCCCTGAAATTCAATTAGCACATATTAGGCTTTATAAAATTATTTAAAGCACTTTTGGGGATTTTTGATTCTTAAATGACAGCATCTTTTTTCTTTCTTTTTGGTTGGTTGTTTCTATGTTTTTTACTTAAGTTTTTCCCTTTTTATGGCATTTTATAATTGCTTATAGTATTATACCATGACTGTTTTAATGTCATGATTACGTTCTCTTGAGAGTCGCTTAACTGAAACAGGTAAAGCAAATAACTAAGTAAATGTGAAAGTTGTATCATATTTCATAGTTGTTCTTATAAAAGAACCTGTGGACCACATAAAGATAATAGTGCGCTCTCAAGTAGGCATCATTTGTATGAACCAACCCTTCAAACATACATCCATACACACACACTCACATACACACACGTGCTCAGTGAAACTGAAGAGATCTGAAGTAGTCTCACTATATTTTTTTTACATCAATCCACCCACTTCATCCAAATAAAATCTCTTTTGGTCAAGCTTAGTCCCCATGATTTCACGAATATAGCCATGTTTTCATTTTCTGTTTGCCACTGTATTGCTCCAACATGCTTTCTTGCTTTCTTTCTTTCTCAGTCTAGCCTACAACATCGTATTTCCTTGTGGTCTCCCACAGAAGTACTAACTAGGCCTGATCTTGTTCAACTTTTTGAGATCAGCCAACAAAGATACTGATTCACTCAAAATGGGCATGAGCTCTGTAAGTTCAATGGGCAAATTCTAAGAGTTTAAGAAAAGACTACTATCTCAGACAAAGATCTATCCAGCCCAGCATTCTGTTGCCAGAGGGACCAAACACATGCCTATGGTAAGCCAATAAGCGCCCTCCTGCTCATTTTTATCAGCAACTGCCATTAGGAAACATAATGCCTTGGATATAAGAGCTAATGTACATCCACCACTGTTACCAATTAATATTCCCTAGGGGGGACCATGAGAGTTTCAAGCAACTGTGAACTGTTTCTTTGTGTATGAATCTCAAGCATCAGCATATTCCCACATATGGCAAGTATATGCAATTGATTACTTTTTAGAACTACACAAACATCCACCACCAACCTCCTACCCCATCACTTTATAAGAGTTCCATTACATCAGTTGTTTAGTTGAATCACCAAAGAATGAAGTTCAGTTGTGCATTATTAATTCATCCATGATGATCTGCTCAATCGTATGTCAGCTATTCTTAGGACAGAGAAGAGACTTGTTCTGTAATTAAGGCATATCCTTTGTTCTCCCTGTCAGGCAATAAATCCAATTTTACTTGCAAAAGAACCAAATGTCTATTTGCAAATCATAAGGTTAGGTTTCCTGTAGAAAACTTACATATAACCCAGACACAAAACATTTTCAGAAATAAAAAGTTAACTAAGCTGAAAACCAAACTTGCAAGAAAAAATACAAGTTAAATAAATTATAGTAGTAGCTTTTAACATAACCTAGAAATAAATCTGAAAACAAAAGCTGACAGGATATATGAGAGCAATGATATTTATGAGAGACACGGAAATATGCCAGTATGAAATAAAGGTTGTGAAGCCAAAATGGATAAAGAAATATAGAAAGAAGATACATCTAGTGGATAGAACAATAAAGCCTAATGGTAAACAGAATTCATGACAACTGAATAAAAATGTAGGGGGAATATAGATGTTAAAGCAAGGAATGAAGAACAATCTCTGCAGTTTAAGCCATATTGTATGTAGCCTTATTTTTTATATACATATGTGGAATGGAATGTAGAAAATTCATGTTTTCATACTCACATATTACAATAAACTATGGTATGTTTCGAGCATGATAGAACAAGCCATAGATATGCAATAACCATATTCTATAAATCAGGGTTCCTCAACCTTGGCGACTTGAAGATGTGTGGACTTCAACTCCCAGAATTCCCCAGCCAGCCATGGTTGAGGAACCCTGCTATAAATGACATCACAATAGTGCTATCTGTTCATTGTGCTAACCCAAACCCAAACAAAACACATTATGAACCCATAGATCCAGCTGTTTATCTGTCAAATCCATCCAGCAATCCCAGCATTACTGGCTGGCAATTTTTGGCATGCCATGTCGGTAATCTTTTGAATATCTATAGATGTATATGTTAGTGACTTTTTATACATAATTTTTAATGTCTAGCTTTTCAAAATGGGTGGCAAAAGAAAACATAAAGATCTATGAGTATGGCAGATAAGGGTAAGCCTAAATCAAGAAAAGATGACAAAGGTTATCTTTTATTATATTTATTTTTTGCCCAACCCAACTTTAATGAAAAAAAATCATGAAATAATTCATTTAACATTCAGAGGGCATGCTCTTACAAACCTTAAATTATAGAAATGGGCTGAAAATACCAGAATGAAACTTAAGACAACTGCACAATTATTCAATTAGGAAAGAAACATCAAATGCAGAGCTATAAAATGGGATTTACCTGGCTTGATAATAGTGAAAATGTGAAATTTTTCATTGCGAAAATGACTTGGAATCATTTGCTTGCAAATTGAGAATGATCAGAATGTGATAGGGTTGGGGGGGGAAGGAAATGCAGTTTTAGGCTGCATCAACAGTAGTTTCAAAATGATGGGAAACAGTAATTCCACTTTATTTTGCACTGGCCACATCCCACCTTGAATACTGTCAGTTCTGGGCACTTCAAGGAGGATGCAGAGATTAGGATAGATTCAGAGAAGGACGATGATCAGGGACTAGAAACACTGGAGAAAATGGGAATATTTAGCCTCA